CTTGATAATCGCCTGGAACGACGCTGTGTGAGTCGGTTAAGATAAGTATCGGTTTGATGGCTGGCGTCGTAGCGGCACGGAAGATCGCTGCAGCCTCGGTGTACCGATGTACGGGGTCGGCATAGTTGGACCCAAGTAACTCGGCGACCGATCTGCGCAAAATCATGGATGCATCCCCTGCTTTGAAGCGGTTCTTGATCCGATTGTTCAATTGGATTCGTGAAGAGTGCCAACTTTTCTTCCCATGCCAATGGACTTTGGCCACTGGGGGGAGGTGGATGTCGGCGGCCGTGCGGAGGACTATGTTCCTCTCGTCGATGAGAAAGATCCTATTGTTTCCGGAGGTCTTGGCGGAAAAGGCGGTGGCTTTTGTGGCAATATTTGCGTTTAAGCAGAACCGGGAAGGAAGAAGACCCGCTTCGATGCATGCGGCGTCTGCTGGAGTGGATGGCAGGAGACCAGATATGATGCGGATGTAGCTGTTGTAGACCGGTGCTAGGGTTCTAACCAGCTTCTCGGAAGCGATACAAGTAATGTCCGTCCCGTAAAGCAACCTACTGTCGATGATGGCTCGCGCCACCCGGAACCGAACATCGCGGTTGTTGGATCGGTGAGGCCGAGAGATCGTTTTAACGAGGTTGAGTCTACTGCGGCAGTCCTTTTTGACCTGTTGGAAACGCTGGTCGAAGGAGAGCGGTCGGTCGATCAGTACGCCGAGGACGCGAACTGTTTTCCTGTTTGGAATGGCTTGGTCGTGGATCGTAATTGGGGTGCTATTGAATCGGTGCTGAGACGGACATACGTGGCATCGGATGCTCTTCCTGGCGAACAGCTGGAAACCCATCGAGTCGGTCCATTTGACGACGGCAGAGACTGCCGCTTGCGCTTGCCGTAGGGTTCGGATCTGTGTAGGACCGGTGGCCACAATCAGCACATCATCAGCGTAAACAAATATATAAATGCGCCCAGGTAGCCGGTCAAATATCCCGTTCATTGCCTCCAGAAACAACGTGACTGCGATAACGGAGCCTTGAGGGACTCCGGTCTCCTCGCTGAAACTTTTCGACCGCGTGTTCCCCACCAATACACGGAATGACCGGTCGGTCAAGAAGTTTCGTAAGAAATACATCATATGTCCCTTCAAGCCCCAGTTTGTTAGTTTTTTTCAGGACGGCTGGCGTCCACGTCCGGTTGAAAGCCTTGGAGATGTCCAAAGAGATGATTTCAATGTGGTGTTCCTGGTCGTAAGCTTCCTTGAGCACGTCCCCCAAAGTGGCAAAGAACGTGGACGTACCGAAACCTTGTCCAAAGGCATGTTGTCGGTGGCCGAGCAAGCGGTTGGTCTCAAGGAACATCTTGAGTCGACGTTTCACCATCCGTTCGAATACCTTGGCCATGCAGGATGTGAGAGCGATCGGCCGGAACTTAGATGTGCCCCTGTCTTTTTCGTTTGTCTTCGGGATGGGTACGACGAGAATCTCCTTCCACAGCGTCGGGTAGGTATCAGAGATCCAGAGTTAGTTGAGCATCTTAAGCATGCAACACTTGCCCTCATGGGGCAGCTTTTTTAAAAGTGGATACCCGAGATCGTCAGGTCCCGCAGATTTGCCATTGCTGCGGCTTAGTGCGTGCTGGAGTTTCTCCCAGGAGAAAGGCTCGTTGATCTCGAGGTTGTACGTGTCAGGCGGGATGCTGAACTCAGCGACTGATGTACGGGTAGGCTTTGCCAACCGCTGAAAGTGGGTATCGTAACCGGAGATGGCCGAAATTTCTGCGAAATACCCTCCGAGTTCTTCGGCGACGGGTGCAGGTTCGGAGATGGTAACTCCGTTAGATGGAACATGTAATGGCGTCGAGTGCCTTCTACCGCTGAGAGCATTAACCCTGCTCCAGAGGTCGGCAGAGGACTGGGAGGCGTTGATGCTTTCAAGGAAACTAGACCAACTGTTTAGTTTTGCACTTCTCACTTCTTTTCTGCATTGAATATGCAGTGCACGATACCGGGTTAGTAGCTCTTCCCTGTTTGGGTCATCTTTCGGGGTTCACCTGAGTTTCCGTTGAGCTTTCCGGCGGGCTTTAACGGCTTTTTGTGTGTCTTCACTCCACCAACGGAGGGCTTTTCGTCCAGGTAGGCTACTGGTCTTTGGTATGGTAGCGGATGCAGCATCTAACACCAACTTAGAAAAATCCGGGATGGTTGGCGGATTGCGTTCCAGGATCAGCGACAGAATTGTCCCCTGATACCCATCCCAGTCAGCCTCGTCGTACCGCCAACGAGGCCTTTTCATGACTTCTGGGCAGGGATAGGCAAATAACACGGAGCGGTGCAAAAAACACTTGTGTTTCTCTCAAATACTTGTGCGCGTTTCCTATATTCGGTAGGAGAAAGTGACAAAGGAGAGAGTGATTTCATACCTGAGTTAGAGTAGTTGGGCTGCACGGGTGCTACTCGCGCATAGGACAATCGAGTAGTGCACTGTGTTTTGACGGGAGTAGCTGTTTTCAATTGAGGGAGACATGGCTTACAGGTTCACACTTTCTGGGGCCGTGGCTGACGAAAGCTGCATTTTGATGGGATAATGATCACTTCCGTACAAATCCGCATTGGTGCACCACGTGACTTTTCCTGCTATGGAACGGCTGATCGAAGAGACGTCGATAGCCGTGGCGTGACTTCCGTTGAAGAATGTTGGGTTTCCATGGTTGAGCACCGCCATGTCTTCCTGATCGATTAGGATCCGGACGAGGACAGCCCCAAGTTGGATGACCCGTTTCACCTGTGCATACAATGCCTTGGTTTTCTTTGTATGCACGTATAACCTATAGCTCATACCGTAGTAGGCTGTGTATAAAAGAAAATGATTTACATTTCAATCGCCGTGCGAGTGTCCCGGTGGACCGTCAAAAGGGTTTTAGACCGAGAAAAGAAAGGACAACTATCTGCGAAGGTGGCCACAGGTCGTCCGAGGTCAGCTCGGGTTCCGAGGGTTATCGCTGCTATCAAAAGGAAGATTCGGGTGAATCCAGTGGAAAATGGCAAAGGAACACGGGATCAGTGACTTAACAGCACGGAAGATCGTAAAGGAAGATTGCGGGCGAAGTCGAGCGCACGGAAAAAAAAACACACATGATTACCAACCGCATCCGGGAGCTACGATTCGAACGATGCAAGAAAATCTTGAACTTCCTTAAGCGAAAAAATCCGGTAATCCTGTTCACCGACAAGAGCATGTTTACCGTCGATCCCGTATCAAATTCCAGAACCGACCGGTATATTAGTTCTCTTCCGGTAAAAGACGTGGACGACGAGCACAAGAACGGGTATCTGACCAAGCATCCTGCTAGCGTTATGGTGTTTGGATTGGTGGCTTCCGATGGCAAAAAATAGACCCGGTGTTCATTCCAGATGGCGACAAGGTCAACACGGAGGTCTACATCGGGATTTTAAGTAAGTATGTTCTTCCGTGGATCAAAGAACAGTACGGCCCGAAGCCAAATGTTGTATTTCAACAAGATGGGGCTCCGTGGTTGCAGGAACATCTTCCGTTCTGGGCGAAGGATATGTGGCCGCCATCCAGCCCCGATCTTAATCCGCTGGATTACTCAATAAGGCGCGTCATGAAGGCCAAGGCCTGTTCTAAACGCCACCCATACTATTCATTTGACGCCACACATACTATTCATTTGACTCATAAATTTCATGTGTACTTCTGAGTGGATTCTATTTAGGTGTAGACACATGAAAATCATGTGGAATTTTACATGGATATTCGCCAATAATGTGTCGAATTTTATGTGTTTTTAGGGGGTTTAAGCACTTCTTTGTTCTCCAATTTGGAGGACAACCCGAACATAAAATTATCATGCATCATCATCAGTCCGCATCGTGCTCTCTTGCCGTGCGGATTTATTTGCTTTTTGCTGAAGGAAGTGTTACTACTGCCTAAAGCTACAATAAATTTAAACAGCACTTTTCAGTGCTCAATATACCTGTAAATTTTCTACCTTGTTTGACTCTTATTCCTCTTCGATCCTTGTTTGGACCCTACCAGAGGTAATCCTTCTTGGATATCGGCCACCTCTTGATCCCCCATCTGATGAAATTAATTTGAGCAATCAATTTAATTTGCTCACGGATGATGACAATGATCCATTATACAGGAAAAAATTCTAGTAAACTTTCTCGGCTTAATGCCAAGAAGGAAAATAATCCCCCTATTGTGATAACCACTTCCGATTTCCATGCTCTTCGCATGGAACTTTTGAACTTCGTGAAAGTTAAGTTTTCACTACAAATTGGTCGTCGGGGTGAATGCCGTGTATTGGCTGAAACCTTGGACGGATTTAAATGTCTTCTCAAGTATCTTACTAAGAAGCAGCACAATTTTTTTACTTACGACACCAAAACTGAATGTGTGTTCAAGGTTGTCATGAAAGGACTGCCCAGTGGTGAATCCCTGGATCAGATTAAAGATGAACTGGCAAAGTAACTTGAAGTTGTGCCAGTCCAAGTAATCGAAAAAATGAAATCCCGTCCTGGCGATTCGCGCAACGGGATTTCTAATGATTTTTATTTAGTTCACTTCAAGTCTAGTGAACTAAACAACCTTAAGGCCTTAGAAAAAGCTAGCCTTATGCTCCATGTCCGAGTGAAGTGGGAACATTTCAGGAAGACGGAACCCAGTGCCGTAAGTCCCAGGGATGAGGTCACGGAACCAAAAATTGCTACATGCCATGCTAAATGCATGAATTGTGGTGATTCCTCTCACGCAAAGGAACCTTTACCATTCAAAAGCGGAGTTATTCCATCAAACACACCCTATATGAAATCTTATTAAGTGAATATGTGCACTTTTTCGAGTGACCCAAAAATGGGTAGCTCGCTTTTGCTGAAATATTTTGGATTTTTCTTCTATCGTTAAATAGTTAAAAACTGGTCAACATCATTAGCGATCCTCAAAGCTAAGACGGCTGATTTAAAGTTTAAAATAAATGCAACTTAAATCATCATAATTATCATGCAGTGCGACTTCAACATCTTTTATTGTGCTAAATTAGAAGAATAAGAATTTAAATATTTTATGCCATAATAAAATCTAGGAAACAATTGGATTCTTTCCCCACAGATACTGCATTACGATGGCACTCTCTCCGACCAGTTGGTAGCTGTTGACGTCAACCCAGGCACTGAAAGTAATAAAAACAACATTCCATTATAAAGTCCCACACCATCGCCACATCAAACATACTTATCTGACGTAGTGACCTTCTTGGAGGACACTATCACTTGCATCCTGTCGTTAATTTGTGGGAACATATTGGACAACCCCAGGGTGGCAGTTTCCGTGCCGAAATTCAGTGCAACTACCACATATCCAACCTTGTCGACCTTGCGTTTGTACACGACCAGATTATCTCCGGAAACCTTCATGTCGATGTCCCCTTCTGCCAGAATTTGTCGTTTGCGGTATTTGGTCAGCTTCTTGAACACCTTCAGATGACTCTTGCGTGCACGGTCCTGTACTTTAACGTTCAGTGTCTTGTAGTTGTCAGCCACCGGCAACCATGTGCTGTTAGCGTTGGAGAAACCTGCATTCTTTCCATTGTCCCACTGCATCGGAGTTCGCGCTGGATCTCGGGAGTACAAGGTGTAGCTTTCTTCGCCGCTTCTACAGGCAGCTGGATCTTTGGTTTGACTCCAAGGGATCGACTGGTCCAACATTCCGATCTCCTCTCCGTAGTAAGTGACGGCAATGTCCGGCAACGTTTGCAGGGCAATGTTATACAAATCGATCTTGTTCTCGCCTAGACGTGATCCGAGACGATTGTTGTCGTGATTTCCTAGAACCCAGTTTGATCTTCTGTTGGCAGGCTTGCCTTCCAGCCAAAGTTTGACGTACTTGGCAAAATCAGCTCCGGTACTAGCCTTGCGGATGTTACTCATCAATTCGAAGTTGAATGGAATCTGAGCTCCATTGACCGTGGCGTTTCCGAAAAATTCGACGATCTTGGGCAGGCTTGTGTAACCTTCAGTCATCATAATACGAGTTCTGTTGTCCTGTTTGGTGTATTCGTCCAAAACCGCTCGCCACTGGTAGATCATGTCATAGGTTTCCGGTTGATCCATAGTTTGCGAATGAACCAGGTAAGCAGGATTCTCGGAGTCGTCGGTGGTTCTGCTTAGTGGTTCGTCGCGGTAGCGACCTTCGCTCTCGGCACTCTCGAACAGGTACGGCACGGCATCAATTCTGAATCCGGAAACACCTCGGTCCAACCAGTAGCGTAGAACGTTCTTCATCTCTTCGACTACGGCCGGATTACGGTAGTTCAAATCCGGTTGCTGCTTAAGGAACTGGTGAAGGTAGAACTCTTGACGTTCTTCGTTCCATTCCCAGGAAGATCCTCGGAAGACACTAATCCAGTTGGACGGTGGAACCATGGTACCATTTCCACTGTCTACACCCGGATGCCAGACGTAGAAATCTTTGTACGTCTCGTTCTTTGCTACGGACAGCTGGAAGTACTTGTGCTGATCGCTGGTATGATTCGGAACAAAGTCCAAAATCAAGTGCAAGCCAAGCTTTTTGCACTTGTCGGCCAAACGCTGGAAGGCGTCGAGATCTCCGTATTCCGATTGGATCTGTCGGAAGTCGGAAATGTCGTAGCCAAAGTCGTCCATCGGAGAAGCGAAGATCGGAGACAGCCAAACTCCGTCCATTCCGATGTCCTTTAGGTATTGCAATTTTTCGGTGACACCTAAGTGGGAAATTGAGTTGAAATGGGGGATTTGGAATGAATCTTTGGTTTCAGATCTTACCATCCAGATCGCCAATGCCGTCGCCATCGGAATCCCTGAACGATCGCGGGTAGACTTGGTAGAAGTTACCGTGTTCCCACCAGTCCAGGCCGGTGGTTACTCCTGCTAGTAGGGCCGTTAGAAGAGGTATAAAGATCTTCATCCTGGCTGTTCCGATCGATGCAAGCAAAAGATCGAAAACGGTTGAATGATACCGAATGGAGAGCTACCGGCCGGTTTTTATACCAATCGAGGTGCGCAATTATGCAGTCAAATTTGCATCTGTTTTCCGTTGGCAAATATCGCTCTCGTCGGAAATGAATTTTTGCCATAAAACAGAGCTGAGTTCTGTTGCTGTTTGCTTTCATTGGTTTGTTTTGTTTGTCATCAGGCATTTGGAATAGAAAAATAGGAAAAGTGATCTGTTCACTTTAATTGAGCAGTGTTGGTTGTCCTTCTAGTTTGATCAGCGGTTCACATGAGCCGGGAAACGTTTCTCCCATCCAAGTCACACATACTGCCTATAATGACATATGGATTTGCTTCAATATTGGGGACAATTGGGTGGATTGAGGGTTTTCGGAACAAACTGGACTCCGTTGTCATTGTACCATTGTTGTACTTCCCGGCTGTAGTGACAACTCGCAAGATCCGCATAAAATTACACACCCTCATGTGTGTAAGAAGGGTTTTTCCTATAATTAATGACTCATCTCAGGGGGAGCCTAGCTTCCGTCTAAACGGTTAATTTCTACGTTGGGAGAGGGGACTCTCCGTTCCGCTGACACACCAAGTACACCTTCACCTTCACAAACGACACAAATTCAGCACGAAGCGTCCACTCGAACCGTACTTTTTTTTTTGTTTTCGCACCGGACCAGAAAACCGGGATTATTATTCTTCACGCACTTTAGACCACGGGACAAATCGGATCCGCTCACGGAACGAGATCGGTAGTTGATCCTCAAATTTCACTGCACTATCTTCGCGGTGACGGGCCGCTTAAGACCTTGGTTCCGGAACGATACAAAGAGTCGACACTTGATATCACTGTTAACTGGAGGCGACGCAAGTGACATTCACACGACGTTTTTTTTTTAATTTTACACCACGGACTCGATTTTTGACCTTAACGTTGGGAGGTTGGTACGCATTAAACCTAACTCCTACAAGCAATACTAAATAATTTTGATAGTTAATTTTTGATTATCTATGGGACATTGCAAATATGTAACATGTGACTGGATGAAGGGCAGAATTTGCTTCTGGAGACATTCGGTTTTGTAAACCTCCAAGTTCATCATTTTCTCAGTGACGAAAACCTTTTTCTTCTGGCCGCAGCTGTAAATTCTCTCCCAGATTAAAAACTAATTTGAATTTGCCAGAGATAGCTCCTCGAGCCTTCGCCTTGCAAAATTTTGGTCCTGGAAGCTGTCCGAAGCCGGCTTCACATAGGTTTCGTTATCCATAAGTATGCACCCACTGGACTTGGCCAGCAGGTTGTCATACATCTTTCGAGCACGGGTTCTAGCTACGGTATTCTGCTGGAGGATCGATTTGGCGCGGTATGCCTGTAAGCTTGCCTCGCATTCGCTGCACTGTACTTCGGGCGGCATCACACTTTTTACTCAAATCGGATCACCTGGGTTGCTTCTGATGGACCTTTCCATGGAGCTGACGGTTGGCAGTTCCACTCCGGCGTTTAGGTACTTTGAGGCTTCCGATTCGTCGTCAAGGTTTCTTTGTACGTTTTGACCGCGTGCCATACGGTGTTTCTTCTCTTGCATGGTGACTGTCTCCAAGACAAGAGAGTTTTTAGAACTGATAAAATACACTGTTTTTGTTATAGTTGTGGTCAATAAATAGACGTCAAAAGCTTCCGAAAACGTCCACTAGGAGCGCTGTAATAAGCAAAACAGCTTGCTCCACACGGAGAAAAAAGTATAGTCCAATCAACCATATTTCAGCTACAATCAACTATATTTTAGCATTGATTTTTGGATAACCCATATGCATGATTGTTACAATCATAATTCAAGTTGAAATAACTAAATAGTAGGCTTGATCCAACTTTGGTAAATATGGTTGAAACAACAATAAAATGGTTCTACTAAAATAGTTGATGGTTGATATTTTGACAGTTCTTTTACAGTGCCAGTAAAATCAACCATGATTATTGTTATACCAACTGAATCAAAATAGTTGATTCGAACATGCTTTGGGGTCAGTTCAATTTATTTTCTTAATTAGGTTTTCCGTTTCGAAACCGTTTAAATGGAACAAAAATCATGCACAAGAACCAATTGCACTTTTGTAATATTAGATCAATATTATATAACTATCCTGGAAGATATTCAAGGATAGCTAAACAACTCTTGATGGCTAATTACAATAGTGCAATTATATTCTACTCATAAGTTGTTATTACATAACAATAATTTTATTTATTTAGAGATTTTTTTACATTTTCAATGTTTTAATAATAATACTGTTAAGTTCAACAGTGTTACACATTCGGAAATAGGGCTTCTCATTTACATAATGTATGTTAATCGGTTTTGAATCTAATTTCAACATATTATAAACAACACTTATAACACTAGCACGGTTCAATTCGTATGATTGCAAATGTTCGTCAAATAATATGGAATTATATGCATAGCATAGTAAAATTAACTCGTCGTTATTTTTTATAATTATTGATTCAATTTCGTAAATGTTTCTTAGTAGTTTATGTTTAATGCAAAAAATTGTACCACGTTCATAGCTTGAGCCATGTTTACTAAATTGCGAAATAAGATGCATCCTATCTTCAACATTACATTCTTCGTATTTCATCAGGATATTATACTCATCTGGAATTTTTAAGCTAAGTATATGTTCTTCCTTGATCTCGTGTAAAGGTGTTACGAATGCGTTGCTAAATAAATCATTAGCGAATTTGAAACTAGCCTTAGTAATCAAAGAAGAGCAAATATTGCGTTTGTTATAATTTACTCTAGTATATTGTTTAGCTTGTTTGTGCTTAGCTTCACATCGCATTCCCCATTGTCGACGTAAACTACCAGATTTTGATATTGCTGTGGCGTAGTGTACCAAATTATGGTGTTTGGGTTTTAAAGAGTCCTTAAATAATGCGACGTACTGTGTATGGTGAAACTCAACCACTTCCTTAAGTTCTTGAATCAATTCAATAGGAAAATCTTGCAGCATAACTAAATCAAAATTTTTTAGCAGGCTGCAAAAATGTATCCATACTGGATCGCCTATCGGAATGAGTTTACCAATGAACAACGGTAAAAAACGCATCAGTGTTATTACTTCACTTGCAGTCATTCGAATCTTTTGTTTAATGAGATTTGTATCTTTTATATCATCCGGAATGTTAGATGAATTCAAGTGGCCATAAACAAAAAGATTTTTCCGGCACTTTAAATCATCTAATGTGAAGTATTTTTGTTTGTATACAAAATAGTTCAAGCAATGCGATAAACCATAAAGACATATCCCTTCAGGTACGTCGTGCATTACATCAAAGTACACATTTAAAGCCACGTGGAATGATGGAATGCGATTTAGGATGCACCTGTCTTTTACACCTGTTTTAGACATATCATTCACTTGCACATGCTCTTCATACATCTCTTCAGATCTAAGAGAATCTACATATTCTTTGCTGTCGATTTCTCTCTCACTCCTAGTTCTGGTACACATACGACAGTAATAATTGGCAGTAGGTGACTCAACTAGATTTAGTATCTCACTCAATCCTAGATTATCACCAGTTATGAAACCTAGCTTGAAATAAGCAGTTATCTCGTTTCCTTTGTATCGGACGGTAATTCCAGTGTTTTCTAATTCACTTAATGTTTCAACTAGTTTAAGCAGCGTCCGTTCATTGCCAAAATGTTTCCTATCTCCAGACATAACATAACCAGTCGTTAGAATATTAACAAGTCGTGACAGAATATATGGTGGTAAACAAGGTATGTAATGATAAATTCCACATATTTTAGTGTTACTGGCATGAGGAGAAACTGTGTCGCTTGTAGTAAAATCGTCAAAAAATATATTGATTGGAACGATCAACTTACTTTCTAGTCCTTGTATTTTCTTCTGCCAAATGGTGCCATCTACTAAAGACCTGATTACTCCATCATCAGATGATTTTAGACATCCAATCAATAGATCGATTACATTTTCCGATTCTAAGTATTTGCGTAGTTGGAACTTTATAGGCATTAAAACACCCTTTACATCATCTTCGACCATTTCTAAGTTTTGATGTATTACAGCTGGTTTCAGTTCGTTACTTATACTAAAATACACCGGTTCTTCGTACAAGCCTATTTCTTTGAGGTCTCGTATAAATTTGTACTCGGTCTGTGAATTGTTGATCACTGAAAATACAGATTTTAATACGGTACTACCAGAACGTGAAATTAAACCGACATCAGTCATTACTCCTACAATTTCATTAATGGGATTCAATACATTTCTTCGTACATCATCTTGAAACTGAAATACCAACTTCCGAGGTACCGTATCCTTATTTAACCACTTTAAGTTAAAACCAATGCTTAAACGACTAATTTCTGATGAGATTTTCTCTAGGTTGATTAACTGTTGTGCTTCAATGTTTTCAACTTGGATAAACTGATCGTCTTCAACATTTGCTATACTTTCTCTATGTACTTCTATACTACCGTTTTCATTTGACAATTTGTGATGTGGTACGGATGGTAACACATGATCTTCCGAATCAAACCTATCTTCGTTACAAAGGTTATCTGCAGCATGGTTGTTTCGAATGTGTTTCTTGATATGAGAAATATAAGAGCATCTGACACTAAATCGTCTTCCGCAATTTGAAACAGTGCAGCAATAGACATCGATGGGCTCATGGACTCTGCGGAGGTGAGTTCCGAAAAGTGATGGACATGTAGTCTTCCATCGGCAACCGGAAATGAAGCACACAATCATTGTGCCGATTGCTGGTTACGGAGAGTTGCAGCTAGAGTTAAGATCCTTGCTTTGTTTCCGTCTTCTGGTGGTTCGAAGTGGTACAACGAATGTGCAATGAAATTCCACGGGCCAGTTGATTCGCTGGGGAAATCTATCTCGTATGCCTTGTAAATTTTGAATGTAACGTCAAGTGCTTTGAGGAAGGTTTCCGCTTTATAAGCTATGTCTTTATAGCTTACGAAAAACTGGTT